CATTAGGGGTGATCTTCTTTTATTTTGGTTCCGTAGTTGGACCGTGATTGTATTCTTGTTATTGTAATGCTATTTTTATGTATTGTGTGAAGTGGCGATTGTAAGCCAACTCTTTATCCCTTTCTTATTCATTACATATGATGTGTAAAGATTACCCCTCTTGCGACATGCCTACGATGCGGTTATGCTCTAAGTCGTGCTCCGACACGTGGGAGATATAGCCGCATCGTGGGTGTTACAAGTTGGTATTCAGAGCCATCCCCGATTTAGGAGCCCCCTGCTTGATCGAATCGCTGGCGTTGTTGAGTCTAGAAAAATGTTTTGAGTCTTTTAGGATTATATATATCGGAGAGTAGGATTCTTTTTACTCCTCAGTCCCTTCGTCGCTCTGGTTAGGCATCCTGACGTAGAGTTTTGACTCTTCTCTTCTCAAATTTCACTAAAAAAATTTAGGATCACGCAAGTATCTTGGAATCGTTCCGATGGTTTTGTGATGAGAACATTGTTCTTGGTGCCTCCTGACATTTAGGGGTTGTGGCAGTGTCCCGGGGAGTTGAGCTCCGAGGTGTTGTCGTCACAATTTTATCGTTGCAGTTCTGGAATACCCGAGTTTCGCCAACCTCGAAAATCTCCTTTATGCAGTTGTTGGTGAGATAACCTTGACGCCACCCAGTACTGGGATGGGAGTTCAGGAGTATTTCCATAACTCGTATAACGGACGCTTTTTGAAGGTTGAGGTAAATGATTTCCAGAGGTTTCTTGGTTATGTGTTGAAGGATGGATACAGCTGGATGTAGGATTTGGTAGTTTTGGGTGAGATATTATGCTTCCCCTGTATCCCCAACACCTGATTGCATAAACCTGAAAGTTTTGGGAGTTTATAATTGGGAATTCAAGTAGCTCCTAGGATATCTTTTCGATAGATGCATGATATGAGATTGGGGTTCGACGTCTGGTGGTCCGCCCATCCACGGTTGGTTTTACAGTGGTCTCGTTGTGTCTTAAAGAGTCCTTAGCTATGCTGACTCGGGGACACTTCGTATGTCATGTGCACTGCCTTGTACATGATGGTGCTGTACGATCGAGCCCGTGTGGGCCCACCGCGAAAACTTCGGGCGAAATCTCCATCATATGTTTGTTCCGGCTTATTTTGCAAGTCAATCCTTTGTTTGTTTTGAGTTGTGGTATTCGAGTTGCTTCGAAGTCAAATGCTGATTCCATACCTTTCCTAAGCGGTGTTCTCATGTTACTATGTCAATACTAATCCTTCATGATAATTGAAATAGTCATGTCAATCCTTTTCAACCGGCGTGTTTCTCTTCAAGTGGATCCGATCACTTCAACATCCGTAAGATCACCTATTGGTTTTTCCAACGTTGTTCGTTTCATCTGTCCTCAAGTTGCCTTTGTTTTTCCCGCCCACCCACCCTTTTTCTTCGAGGACTCGGATTTCTTTATCAAGTATCTATCTTATGAATGTGAAGTCTCTCCATTCTTTTCCGCCAATGTTCTTATCCAGTGATCCTCAGGAAGATACTAACAGAGCTTCAAGTTATCATTCTTTGTTTCTTTTCTTCTCCGGTGGATTTAATGCAAGCTTTCGGTGTTGATCATATCTTTTTCATTGTTCCACATGCCTTCCATGTTGGAAGTGCTTATCGAAGACTCTCTTATTTATTCACCTCTCTCTATTCAATTGTTCCGGAGTGCTGAAGATATCTTAGAAGATTCGTTTCCATTCTCAATCCGTTCAAGTTATTTTGAGGATGTTGTCTCATTCAAGCCATTTAATTCAACCGGCGCAATCTCTCTTTCTAATCATTCCAACGGTGTTTCTTTTGAGTGAGCCTAACCCACAGGTCTTTTCCCAGGATCTTACCTGAGTCTTCTAATTTTCCCGGAGCTATCCTAAATTCTTTTTGAAGTTTGACGTAAGAATGAATCATCATCAGTCAAATGTCTTTCCCCAAGATCTTTCAAACTCTTTTCATTGTTGGCTCAACCTCTTCGCTTTCATTCTCCCGGGGTGTCTCATCAATTATCATGGTGGTGTTTCTCGTCATCATTCTCGAATTTTGAAGACCGAAGAAGAGTTTCTCTTAAATCTTGCTCCATTCTCTTCAAGATTCGTGATTCTAGCTTGTTGCCATCCTCTCATAATTGTTTTCGATTGTGAGAATTCTTTTCACCTATTCGGAGCAATTCAAGATTCTATTCAATTTGATTCTCCGGAGCCCATCATTTCAGAAGACTTATTCATTCTCAGACTTCAGCTATCATTCTCCAAATCATACCGGTGCATCATTCAAATATTCTCTTATTAGCTCATGATTCTCTTCGTTCTCATGTGTCTAATTCTCTCAAGCTTCTTCGTTCATTTGCTCATCCTTCCCGCTGAATTATGCCTTTGCTATTTTCACTTTCAATTCTTACGGCGGTTCATTCAAGACTTCTCTTCCTTCGTTATCATATCAATTTATTCGTTGTTTCAATCCTACTGGTAGTTCGTCGAAGACCTTCTCAAGTTTGCGCTATACCTCTCTTAATCCTTTCTGCGAGAATAAGTGGTATGCCAAATCCATTGCTTGTCATCAATCTAAATTGATGAAGGATAAGCATAATGTAATTCTTATTCTTGTTTCATCGAGTAAATTCAATTCCTTATTCCGGAGGCTCATCAAATTCTCTATTTCAATTGTTCATCTTTCTTTTCCAGAGTTCCAAGCTCTCTCAATTATTTCATCCCGAAGCTCCATCTAAATCATTACAAGGCTTCACCTTGTGTTTTCAACTTCTCTTTCTTTTTATCATCATTTTGTTACCAGAGTTCTTCATGGAGGCTCTACATGGTGGTTCATCAAGGATTCCTTTCATTCTTCAATTGCTCGTCAGGTTTTCTCTCGAAGCTATGATCCGCCAAGCTATACTTCAAGTATTCTTCATCTTGCATTCTGAAATGCAATTCTTTCTACCTTATCTTTTGAGATGGTGTTATATCATCCTTGACAATTTCCTTCATGTTTCATGGGTGATAAGTTGTCAGGAATAAGATATTTATACCCATCAATCTCTTCATTGGTATTATCTTGGGTTATATTTCACCTAAAGCCTTCCCTAAGGATTGTTGCTATTTATGGTGCTCATAAATGACCCTAGTTCTTTATTTATCCTCCCGGTGAAAGAAGTTTCTCGTACCCTCTATTGCTTCCTTTAGTGGCAGAATTTCACCTCAGTTTTGAGACGTTTTCCATAAGCCCACAACAACCTCATTCTTTTGTTGTTTAATTTGCAACAACTCCATTCAATCCTTCATTCTAAGGATACCTTAAAATTCATTGGTGGTAGAAGTTATCATTTTTCTTCTACTTTCTTTCTTCCTAACGATCTAGCTTCTATTCTTTCTTTCGGAGGCATTGTGATGTTGCTCTCTTCGAACTATCATCTTGTTTTGTCAAGATCATGTTCAATTCCTTCCATTTACAGTCGAAGTGATGTCCAAATTATATCATTCTTTTCCTTCTTTATCTTGTTTTAACCGGAGTGTTTTCGACTTTGTTCATCTTCGTTGTATTCTTTCTTTCAATTTGTTTAACCTCACAAGGTTCTTTGGTTTCACTTATTTGTCAAAAAAGCAACTTAGTTACCTCTTATCTTCCTCTTCCACTTCTCTCCGGTGCCATCCTAGATCTCGGGACGAGATCCTCTCGTAGTGGTGGAGTGTTGTGACGCCCCAAGACCGGAGCTTCAGACGCCTTCCATGTTTCCTGAGTTTTCGTCGTGTGAGTTGTTGGTTTGATTGTATTCATCTTTGCACATTTTGCTTTGCATCATGTCATCATGTCATTTTTTTAACTCAACTAAATAAATTGCATAGATCTTGTGATCTATTTAAATTGAGGGAACTCACATGGTGATTTCTCTATATAACATATCCTCCCAATATTTTAGGGAGCTATATTAAATATTCCATTTTCGGAATCACCCATAAACACACTTGCAAATAAACACATGCCTTTTCCTGCTTCAAGTTTGGTCCCCAAACTTCGCCCATATTTTTCATTCATCGCTTTCCCGATCTCCAATAAAATTCCGAACATTTTTGGACTCTCCAAAAAATGTTTTTCTTTTTCAAACTTATTTGAATCACATTCAAATGTGTTTGAATGCAATCCTTGCAAGTGGTGCCAAATGCATTTTCTCGGAACGAACTCATTTTTATGAGTCCGGGAAATTTAACCGCATGCCCAAATTCTTTCTATAACCCCCTCCTTTTCCTTTTGCTCCTCTATATGCTTTTTGTTAAAGGGAAATTAATAAGAGAGAGAGGGAGAAGAGAGTCCAGGCCCATCCTTTCCGCAGCCCAACCAGCCGCCGCCTCCCTAGGCGAATCTCTCCCTCTACTGGGCCGGTCTCCCAAGGCCCACTCCCCTGGCTAACCCTAGCGCTGCCTCACCCGATCCCCTCATCCCACGATCCCATCTCTCTCCCTTGGCCTCCAGGGACGAGGATCCTCTGCCGTTCGGCAGGGTGCCATTCGACCACTGACTGATGGACCCATCGGGGAACAGGCCCACATGGCAGCGCCACAACGGCAGGAGCCGCACGTCAGGGGAGCCGCTTCCGGCCTCCAGCGCCCGTTCCCCTCGTCCTTGTCTTCCATCGATCCACGTCTCTCCCCCCGATCCCCTCGCTCTCTCTCTCTCACCTTCTCTCTCGCACACGCAGGAGCCCCCGTGCTCGATCCTGATCCCACAGCAACCGCTCCTCCTTCCCGAGGCTGCCACCGGTGCCCCAAGTTTCCCCTCGTCCTCGACCCCCATCTCTCCCTCGACCCGGCTCGCCATCGAAGCCCTTCGCGCGGCCCCCTTCCTCTGTATCTTCTCCTTCCATGCCTAGGCTACAGCTGCTCTTCCCGTCGCCGCCACCCGGCCACCTCGACAAGCCGCCGCCGTCGCCAACCGAACCAGCACCAACCAGGCCGTAGGTTCAGCGCCTTGCCCCTACTCCACTACCTCCCCATCGCTGTGCCAGGGCCCTTCACCGTCGACGACCTGCGCCAACGCACTGCTGCTTCGTCCCTGCACCACCGGGGCCTCCCTGCCCATGCCCTTCTCTCTCCTCCATGTCCGCCTTTGCCGCTGCTGCTCTGCGGCCCTACGGACGCCTCTGCTCGCAGGTGTCGCGCCAGTGCCATGGCGCTCCGCCGCACCTTGTCTCGCCGCTGCCGTCTCGAACCTCTCCTGCCGGCCACCAGGACCCGTCGCCCGTGCCTCGTTGCCTGCTTGCCTCGATGCCTCTCCATGGACCCCGAGCATCACCACCGTGCGTTGCATGCCACTTAAGGTCTCACTGCCTTCGTGCACCACCGCTGGCCCCTTGTGTCGTTGACTAGACTGTCCAAATCAGGGAACGCCAAGATCCACTACTGTTGACCCCGAACATCTACGAAACATGGACCTGTACGATCGATGTGGAACTGTCGAGTACCCTTTGCACGCGCCAAGTCCCTCTTCAAAATGTACAACTACATCCGATGTGGATTTTGACAAGTACCACGACGCCCGAAGCACTCAGATACGTCAAGTTCGACTCCTTTCGTGTGTACCACTACCGTTGATGAAGACACGTGTTACGCAAGCGTCAAGTTCGGCTACAACATGTGTATGCCTACTATCACCGAAGACCCGTGCACGACTACCGTTGACCGCGAAGGGCTTGGAGTCACCAAGTACCTCTCTGAACGAACGTGAACGACTATCGTCGCAAGAACGGGACCGGAAAGTCCGAAGACCCCAAGTACCACGACACCAATGACATGAACATCTACGAAAACTCATGCAATGATAAACATGTACCACTACCGTCGCCGAGATCGCGAGAACATCTACCGTCGACCCTAGAGCATGCGAGAATGACTACTTCCACTACCGCCGTCGCGAGAACGTCTACTTACTTGACTTTGCACCGAACGAGAACTGTCCCATTTGCACGCTTCGAAAGTATAACCGCCGAGAATGACTGCCCATGGACGATTGCATGTGTGATGTATGAGATGCCAGTGTTTGCTCCGTGTCGGAGTTGTTCGTTGCACGAAGCCCCTCTTTTGCCTTGCCACCATCTTGTGGGACACCCGGTTTCCGGGAGCACCCCACCATCCTTGCATGACACGCTTCCGTCATTTTTCCTTTTGCACCGGTATCTCCGTGAGCTACCGGAACTGATATGGTGTCGTGGCATCATTTTTGGATTCGTCGCCGTGGCACCCTTTCTTTCCACCACGGTGATAAATGCTTCATAATGCTCATGTCAACATTGCCTTAGAACTTGCATAAACTTGCATATGTCATTTGCATCATGATAACAACATTTAAACGTTTAAAATTGTTGTTTGCATTAAATTGCTAAATGCACATGGGGATTTACAGGATTCGTTGTTTGTTATATCCGGCCCCATTTAAATTGCTTAGATTGTGTAGTTTACTTTTGCTTCACCTCTTGCCATGTTAACCAACATTTAATATTGTTGAGTACCTAAACGAGAGAGAACTAAATAATTGATGTGGTGCTTCGTCAATATGAAACTCGTTGCATATTGGGCTCCACTTAACTTGTAGTTTTGTTTCTGCACTTTGCCATGCCATGTATCATTAAACCGGACATGCATAATAATTGTTTGCGCATCATGCCATGTTATGTGATGGTTGTTTACTATGTTGTTTGCTTCTTTTCAGGTTGCTTCTCTCGTTAGTTTCGGTTTCATTCCGGAGTTGTGAGGATCCGTTCGACTGCATCCGTTTGTCTTCTTCTTGGACTCGTTCTTCTTCCTTGCGGGATTTCAGGCAAGATGACCATGCCCTCGAAATCACTTCTATCTTTGCTTGCTAGTTGCTCGATCTATTGCTATGCCATGATACCTACCACTTGCTATATCATGCCTCCCATATTGTCATATCAAGCCTCTAACCGACCTTTTCCTAGCAAACCATTGTTTGGCTATGTTACCGCTTTGCTCGGCCCCTCTTATAGCGTTGCTAGTTGCAGGTGAAGAAGGAGTTTGTTCCTTGTTGGAACATGGTTATTGTTGGGATATCATTACTGTATATCTTATTTAATTAATGCATCTATATAATTGGTAAAGGGTGGAAGGCTCGGCCTTATGCCTGGTATTTTGTTCCACTCTTGCTGCCCTAGTTTCCGTCATACCGGTGTTATGTTCCGTGATTTTGCGTTCCTTACGTGGTTGGGTTATAATGGGAACCCCTCGACAGTTCGCCTTGAATAAAACTCCTCCAGCAAGGTCCAACCTTGGTTTTACCATTTGCCACCTAAGCCTTTTTCCCTTGGGTTTTGCAGACTCAAGGGTCATCTTTATTTTTAACCCCCGGGCCAGTGCTTCTCTAAGTGTTGGTCCAAGCTGAGCGATGTACGGCGCCCCCTGGGCAACCAGGGTCTATGCCAACCCGACGTATTGCTCATCCGGTGTGCCTTGAGAATGATATATGTGCAGCTCCTATCGGGATTTGTCGGCACATTCGGGCGGCTTTGCTGGTCTTGTTTTACCATTGTCGAAATGTCTTGTAACCGGGATTCCGAGTCTGATCGGGTCTTCCTGGGAGAAGGAATATCCTTCGTTGACTGTGAGAGCTTGTGATGGGCTAAGTTAGGACACCCCTGTAGGGTTTTGAACTTTCGAGAGCTGTGCCGCGGTTATGGGCAGACGGGAATTTGTTAATGTCCGGTTGTAGAAAACTTGAAACTGAACTTAATTAAAATGCATCAACCGTGTGTGTAGCCGTGATGGTCTCTTCTCGGCGGAGTCTGGGAAGTGAACACGGTTCTTGTGTTATGCTTGAACGTAAGTAGTTTCAAGATCACTTCTTGATCACTTCTAGTTCACGACCGTGGTTTGCTTCTCTTCTCGCTCTTATTTGCGTAAGTTAGCCACCATATATGCTAGTGCTTGCTGCAGCTCCACCTCACTACCTTTTCCTACCCATAAACTTAAATAGTCTTGATCGCGAGGGTGTGAGATTGCTTTGTCCCCGTGACTCACAGTTTACTTCCAAAACCAGTTGCATGTGTCGTTGATACCAGTGTAGATGATGCAGCTGAGCTCAAGTGGGAGCTCGATGAAGATCGTTTTCGTTGTGGTGTTTCGTTTCCAGTTGATCAGTAGTGGAGCCCAGTTGGGGCAATCGGGGATATAGCATTAGGGGTGGTCTTCTTTTATTTTGATTCCGTAGTCGGACTGTGATTGTATTCTAGTTGTTGTAATGCTATTTTTATGTATTTTGTGAAGTGGCGATTGTAAGCCAACTCTTTATCCCTTTCTTATTCAGTACATGGGATGTGTAAAGATTACCCCTCTTGCGACATGCCTACAATGCGGTTATGCCTCTAAGTCGTGCTCCGACACGTGGGAGATATAGCCGCATCATGGGTGTTACAAGGAGGCAACCAGAACTTCTGTTGCTTAGCTGCCACTTGTGAAGAAGAAGAAGATTGAACTGCATCCCTGACTGTCTTCTTGGATGCCTCACACTTGAGCTAAGCAGCTTCTTGATTTAGTGCCATGTTCTAGAATTCATCATACTTAGTCGGCTCAAGAAGCACGAGAGCTAATTGCCGATCTTCTCTGGGCCACCTCTGAATTGATATATCATGCTCTTTTCATCAGGGATGTCTTGTTTAGCGAAGCGAGCGAGTTTCTGAAACTAGATATTGTATTGATACACGGACAAGCTGCCTTGCTTGAGATTGCGGAACTCCTCATGCTTGTTCTCAGCAACACTTTGTGGGATGTGATGAGCTTTGAAGTCTCGGAGGAAATCATCCCAGGTAATCACACGACCTCCTCTGGAATCTCTGTATTGTTGATACCACTCAGTAGCTTGGTCCTTGAGTTTAAACAAAGCAAACTTGACAAAGTCCTCAGGTGATGAGGACATGACTACCTTGGATATGACCAAAAATATTGCATATATGCATATTTGTCAGGTGATTTCTAGTGCAAACTATTCAATAATCTATTTGTGTTATCCAGAACAAAAATACTTCACACACTTTTGTGTTTTGTCTAATTGTAGGTGTATGGGACATTTGTACAATCCACATATGAAGATAAGGAAGAAAGAGATGTTTATTTGCTGTCCAAAAAGTTCTCTCACGTCACTTTTGGCCCAAGAGAAGATAGAGTCCAAGTCTCTCACGTTCTGGATTCAGATTCGGACTGCACAGACATACCTGACTCAAAACGCACACAAGTTTTTCATACGGACTCCGAATTGGGTGATTCTTTTTTTGTTGGAAACTAGATTTCATGCACTTTCCAACCCAATTGGAATCACCTTCAAATTCGTCCGGAGCGTTGAGTTGTGGACGAAACAATCTGATACTGCAGCAGAATCCGAGTCAAACTACAAGTCCAAAGGTGTTACATCACCTCCACTTGGGCCCATTGGCCTTGTACGACCTAGATTTAGTTTTAGGCTGCCTTGGGACGTCCTCCCACCTCCTTGGCCGCCACCCCTTGCTCCTATATAAGTAGATCCATCTAGTAGCTTTTCCTTGGGATTTGTTTAGTTAAAAGTTAGCCATTGCAACTTCGTGTACTTTGTTTGTGTCCAACGACCAGACCAAGACCGTTTACGGATCCCCACCTTTAT